AGGAGGGTTCCCCTGTAAAAATCGCATTCCGGGGGTAAAATACACGTTTTTCGGCGGGGATCCTGAAGTAAAATTCACATTCCAGGGACTAAATATCACGTTATTGGGGTCGCTTCAACCCGCGGACATGAACAACAACCCGCGGCAACAGTGTTAAAGTAGCCCAATTCCGCGTGAAAACCACAGACTTGGCAACACTGCTTGTGAACCGACTGCACTTATAGCGTTTCCTTGGTTACCGCTGTAAACAAAGCAGAGCTGCGCTTTATACGGAGAAGAAAATGCCATTGCCATCGAACCTTTTCTCAAGACAGTACCCTTCAGTGATACATTAATATAACCCCATAAATGTAATGCATTTTTGTACTTATTTTACTGTTTTGTTCGGGATCTACTGGGACGGTGATAAAGATCTACCAGTCGATCGCGATCTACGGGTTGGCGACCACTGATGTACAGTATTTAAAAAATAATGTGTTTTTTGAACATTAAAGCATGTCAACATATTCTGTTACACCAAATACACAAAATAATGATCTTTAAAATAGCATCATATGACCCCTTTAATATTTAAAGAGTGGTCACATAGGCAAAAAAGTTAGTTGTCCATTGTCAATATTGAAGCCAATAGTGTAACTTAACCATGCAGCTTTCTGTTGGTCAACCCAGCAAATTTTGTGCGACCAGATTGCCAATTGCACGGACTCCTATTGAAATGACTCAATTTCAGCGGAGAAAAGTCGCTGAATAACGGTCAGTGTGACCATGCCATTAGAGTTTGAAATTTGTCACTCGTCTTCACAGTATTAATGGTGATGCCTTGGTAAAAGCACCATTAAAGGGGTCATGAACTGAGAAATCAAAATTCCCTTGATCTTTTGACATATAAGAGGTCATTGTACTATGAAAACATCCTGCAAGTTTCAGAACTCAAACTTTCTCATTAGTCTAAAATCAGCCTATATTGAAGCCAATCTGCCAAAACGACAGGTTGTGGAATGTGCCGCTCTATGACGTAAAAGTGTGGCTAAACACCGCCTTGTACCTGCTTCTACAGTACAACACTGCCTGTTTAGCTCCACCCACCGATTCGTGCATGTAGTGTAAATAGCGAGAGAGGTAAATGCAGGTCTACACAGAAACCAAACAATAAAGATAGCTCCGAAGACAAGACGCTGTGCAGTGCCACACTCTTTGCATTGCCTTCCTTCTGATCCCAACATTAGGAAAGAGTGGATGAACTTTATTTTTAATGAAGTTCCAAACCGCGTCAGTAAGAACTTGGTCCTTTGTTCACTTCATTTCACCGTGGATTCATTTACAAACAAGGCACAATTCGACACAGGATTTTCAGAAAGATTGAAACTAAAAGACGATGCTGTGCCGACTATATTGGATTTGGATTTCACTATTGCTTTGTTTGTTATTACAGATCGTTTGATATGTACTGAGTATTTATGCATTTTTAACCTAAATCACAGTAGCGTCCATCTGTGAGGGATGTAGGCTGTCAAACATACATAACTGTTAACCAATCATAGCAGTGGGCGTTTACTTCCGAGTCTACAATCCGCCGCACCTATTCAAACAGAGCGTTCCGATGAGGGGGGTCAAAACAGGACAGAAAAATAGCCTATTACTTCTAAATTCTGATGTTTTTTGATGTAAAACTTTTGATACCATTAAAAGTGGACCTCAGAGAACAGTAAAAAAATTTAAAAAAAAAAAGCCAATTCATGACCCTTTAATGATTCTTTAAAGGGGTCCTATTATGCTCTTTTACAAAGTCTTGATTTTGTTTTGGGGGTGTACTAGAACAGGCTCTCATACTAGGTTGTTTGAAAAACACATTATTTTTCACATATTTTAGATTATTACAACACCTCTCTCCCCAGTCTGGCATGAATGGCTAGAATAGTTCCTGTGTCAAGTGAAGACCCGCCTTCTGAAATACGAAATGTGCTGTGATTGGTTAGCTGTATCACAAATCCCGGAAAATGTGCGTTGTAGTCCAAACGAGTCGTTCGTTGTAGTTTTTGAAAAGTGATTTCTGTTAAATAAAATATCTCCTTTTGAAGTGGACTTTAAACTTTGTAACTTTGCAGATCTTTTTTATGCTCAAACAGCAACATTACAGACTAACTAAAGTTGAAAAAGTGAAAAAGCATAATAGGACCCCTTTAAGAAAGTTGTATGGAGAGAGAGAACATGACTTCAAAATACTGAAAAATCTTAGAAGACTTACATATAGCATGAAGAAAAAGGCTCATAGTAAAGGCCTGAGAGATGAAGAGAAGAAAGCAGAGAAGGATTAGAGTTGATGTGTTTTTATGAGGTGTAGTCTGTACCTTATGGAGCTCTAAACAGGCCCAGCTGTAGCAAGATCTTTTCTGGATCACACAGAACCCCTGTAGACACAGATCCACAGAATCATGTAGCTGTGTGTACACACTCTGAGTAAAACGACCCCCTGTAGATGTGCCTTCACATAAACAAACACACTCCGACTCATTTGAAACCTAATTTGCTGTTTCATGGCTCATGTTGCTTCAAAATTAGTTTGGCACAAGTGTTCGCAAAGTGTTATTTTTATTATATAATGAAGTCCCACTCTGTTTTTCTGTAACTTTCATTATATGTTTATTATATAATGAAGTCATATTCTGTTTTTCTGTAACTTTCATTCTTCCTCTCTCTCTTGTCCAGATAACCGGATGATTAAAGTGAACGGGACACGGGAGCCTCTAGAATTTAAATCCCATCAGTGGTTTGGAGCCACAGTCAGGACCCACAAAGGCAAAGTGGTGGTAAGTGATGCTCAGAATCATAATCCAGTTAAAGACCCTTTACAGTCATCCTCATGCTGGATGCATGCTTCTGTGCGTTCGTGGATGCGGTTGGAAACTCTACTCTTTATCAGTAAGTAGCTGCCCATCAATGGGTTTAATGCTGTTTAATAGCATAAATCCTTTCATTCATGAATGTATGGGAGCCAGAATCAGAGTTTCATTCATGAATGCATGGGAGTGTTGTTTTGGAGAAATGTTTTGATAGGAAATGTGGCTCTGTCCTGTTACTGAGGGGGTTTTGGAAAATGTTGATTTGAGGTTGACCATGCGAGGTGGAGAACTGCTGATGTTTGAAAGAATAAGCCCAGAGTTATTACATGAGGGAAGGCATGGTTCCCAAATGTAACTGTTATTCTCCAAACAATCAAATACGGAAACATTTTGCTCTTTTAAATGGTTTTATTCAGAAAATTACAGAAGATGGGATTTTTTTTCATCTCCAGCTCAGTCCTAAGGAGTGTCTTTTTGTTCGATCTACACCTATCAGTGCTGTTATTTACAGTAACATGGTGATTGTGTGGTTTTGTAGGCTTGTGCGCCCCTCTATCACTGGAGGACCGTGAAGGTCAGCAGTGAGATGGATCCAGTGGGAACTTGTTATGTGGCTGTGCAGAACTTTAGTGCCTATGCTGAGTATTCACCGTGTCGAACCAGTGAGTATATCACACACACACACACACACACACACAGGTATTCCTATATTATGGGGACATTCCAAAGGCGTAATGTTTTACTGTACAAACTGTATTTTCTATCCCCTTACACTACCTTACAAAACTTTCTGCATTTTTAGATTTTCAAAACATTTCATTTTGTATGATTTAATAGCTTGTTTCCTCATGGGGACCTAAAAAATGTCCCCACAAGGTCAAAATTGACTGGTATTACTATACTTGTGTATAGTCTGGTATGAATACTACTACACACACACACACACACACAAAACAGTGACACAGAACCAGTGAGCATGCAGTTAACTTTAACTACTTGCAAATTTAAAAGTGTGTTTTTAAGCTTTACTAAAGTTCATACGTTACATATAACTAGTTGACTTTTTTTCCGATGACTAGCCGACGAGCAAAAATGAGTAGTCGTGCCAGCTCTCCTTTTCACACAGAATCACAGATTTGTCTGCTGCTTCTAGGGCTGCCCAGTTGTGCCAGTTGCCATGGCAATTATATGCCCTGCTGTAAACAAAGATCAAAGGAGAAACTCACATGTTTATTTTAATGTAATTTCCTGTACTTTAAAGTCTCATTCACAGTTATGGTAGTTGATACATTTACTCTAATTTCTTGCCGTCATATCAGATACACACATTCTCTTAGATTTACATAGCATGCACATACACGTACTGAGACAGTGTGTATTAACAGTTAGTGTCGAGTGAAGTGGTATATTAATAATGATAATTGTGCCTAATGTGTTCTGAGGGGAAATTATTATATGACACATGAAGCCATAATGACTGTGAATTACTATCCTCATTCTTTGTCAAACAATTTCAAATGCCAGCCGTCTCCCTGGCAGGTCAGCTAGGAGTCCCTGCCAAGACTCGGGGCAGAGATGTCCAGTGTTGATATAATCCAGCTTGTGTTCACTCTGCAGTGGACACACTCATGTATGCATGAATACACACATTTGCAAAGACAGTAGTATTGAGAAAATGTGAGAAATGAAATACTAAGTGAAGTCTGGCAGAGGAGTGAAAGAAGAGAAACAGGGATGGAATGAGAGAGAGTGTTTATTGTATTTTTTGAGAACATGACAAGAACAGGGGTTGGGATTTGGAAGTGATGTTCCGCCTCATTAACCCTCCCCACCGATTTTACGACACATTATAGCAATTACACACAGGACATTGGTCCTGGAACAACATTCCTGTCCTCCAAGGCTTGGGGTTTGAGCATGGTTGTGTTTGGGATTAAATACAGGGATAGGACGACCATAGGTGCCACTAATCTTATTCGGGAATAATGTGACGTGTGAACTTGTGAAGTCTACATTTCATTGCATCACATCATCCATTTACATAAATGTTTTACAAATTTGTCTTTAGTGGCTTGCAATACTGAAGTTGCTCTGATATTTGTAGATAACCCGGACCCCGAGGGCCAGGGCTTCTGCCAGGCGGGCTTCAGCGTTGATTTCACTAAGGTAACAAATCTCCCTCCTAAACCCTGTCTGTGTGTTTCATCTTTATGATTACACACTCCTGTGTTATGTGTTGTCCTGCTTTTTGTTCAAAATCTCAAAACATTCAATTCCAGTTTTAAATTGAAGAATGACTTTTAGACCCTGCTTTTATGTATCACTTTGACCCTTCATTTAGTCAGGAAGAGGGCTGATTCCTTTATGTTCATGCCTTATTTCTTTTATCTCTACTTATACTCACTCTTGTGTGTAAATTAATCAGTACTCTTGTCAGTTGCCTGTAAGTCTTTCTCCATAATCCTGTTCAAAATGTACAAGCATACCCACAGAAATAAACACAAACACATTTTTGAGGCCTGTGTCCTCATTTCTACCTTCTCTCCCATTTCCTCACTTGTTGTTTCTCCATCTCTCAGGAAGGGACTCTGGTTGTGGGAGGGCCAGGGAGTTTCTACTGGCAAGGTAACACACTTATCCTACGTTATTTTGTCTTTTCCATCATTCCGTCCTTTTACAGAGTCTCTCTGAGTGAGATTGGCAGACTCACAGTCTCACAGGACCCCAAGAATCTCAGTTCCATCCAACAAACTGACCAGGCTGACCCTTCCTCCACCTTCAGAGCAGAAAAACAGACACTCAGAATGATGACACGTCACCTCTCAATGAGTCCCGTTACCAAAATAATCAGGGATTATCTCCGTGTGTTAGCGCTACCATTGCGGAGTCAGTTCAGCCAATCAGAGCTCGCCATTCACTCCTCAGTGAAGTGTTCTGCCACAGTTCACTCATCACAGATGGGTCAGTGATAGCGGTAATATAGCGGTCGTGATAATACAAGACAGAGAGAGGTCAATGAGTTGCACTTTCTGGTCAGTGGCTTTAACGTTGGCTCGCCGTTAGAGCTGTAATCATCACTTTTAAAATCCAGTGAAAGCAGGTTAACCAACGCCTGCACTTCCTCACTTTTAGCCTGAATTATACGTTCTGCACAATTGGCAATGAAATATATCTAAAGAGAATGCAAAAATCTGTACACCTGCGTATGTTTAGCGATGTTTATGTTAGGGATAAATAAATCAGCAAGTGTTTGGCCATTTTTCATCTGGCTGATTAACAAAACTGGCAGTTCCTCTTTGAGTTTAGTTGAAAATCTACTTAGCTTTATCAGTGCCTTTTTACAAATTGAAATTTATTGAATTTTGCATAAAATACTTATTTAATTTGCATGAAATGTTTAATTTCTGTATTGTTAAATAATATAATTTAGTTATAATTACTGTAATTATAATATTTCTAAATTCTAATTTTTGTATTATATTGCTGATTAGCGACTCATGCTAGCTCGATATTGGTATCAAAATCAACCATTGAAAAACACATTTCGATCAGCTAGTTATTATGAGTGTGAGATTGTATGTGGTATATTGAGATTCACATGGTCATGGTAACCTGGAAACAAGGGAATTAAAAAAAAAAAAAAAAGTTATGGAAATAAAAAAAAACAGAACAGTTCTGAAGACTTAAAATGTTACAAATTTCTATAGTTGATTATTTTTTTATGTTTATGTTCTGCTCTAATATACTTAATTAGCCATAAACTGCCTTTTGGAAGTGTAGCATCTTTATAAATTATTTTTATAATTAGTGTTTATTCCACCATCTTGAATGACTGAAGAAGCGACAGAAATGCATGTGTCAAATCCAAAAGGCATGAGAAATCTTCATGAATACATCTAAATGTATTGCTTGAAGTGAAAGAGGACATTGCTCCTCCTAAAAATCTCAAAAATGACCAAATGAGGCACAGCTAAATATTTTGTGGCTGGATGTATATGTGATTGTTTATGTGCCTGGATTTGGATCATAATGCTAGATGTTGATTGTTGTGTAATTGCAGTCGTATGTTAAGAGATGAAAACAGATTTGTTCAATCTTCAGACCCCACGCAGCCTGAACTCAGAGTCACAGCCCTTAATAAATACTGATAATACTGGGTTCCACGTCACGTCTCACATGTGTTCTTGGTTTTTGCTTGTAATGGAGAGACAGATGACTTGAGAAGACACAGAAATCTAATGTCAAAAACAGGGTCTCACTTTCTCTGTTATATACTTCATGCAGTGGACAAATACAGATGCATTAGAAGTTATGACCTACCTCTCGTTTCCTCTCCTCTTTTCCCACACTCAGTCCAACTTAACCTTTGCCTTTCATCGTTTTTTGGAGGAAAAGACAACAGATTTCTGTGAGGGGAAAAAGTACCACATGTTGTGTCGTGTGTGTCCACGAAACAAATGCAAATTAATAGACAAACACACAGCTAAACACACACATTAAGAGAGATTAATGGTTGGGGTTCAGGTCAGGCTGTAGCCTGGTAGTAAAAGAGAGTAATATTTTTATTGAACTTGAACAACAAAAATGGAGGACATTCCTCCCACTCTCTTTCACATTCTTTCCTTCATCATTGCAGATCTTAATATGAGAACTTGCATCTGTGTTATTTTCCTCAGTGCTTGTGTAATGTAGATAGTTGTAGAATGACAAATCTGAATGTGGGCAGTTTTTGACCGTTTTGGAAAGAAGTTGTTAATGTTTTCATTTTGGTATCTTTCTGCCTGTTCAGAATTATGCTTCCATCCTTGGTTCAAATCATCAATTAATGGGTCATTCTACAATAGCAGTGATATTTCCACTGGAAAATATTTCAAACATGAAGCTTATCAATCCTATATTATACCTATGCTACATTATAATTTTTTTTTTTTCTTAAATTATTTCAGTCTCAATAATTAATCTTAGAGAGATATAAGAAATTAGAACGATATTACAAAAAAGATATCATTGATCTTAATATAATTTTATTACTATTGTAACTGAATATAATTATTTAACTAATCATTTTTAAATGTTAAAAACATACAAAGAAAATGGCATAAAAGATTCTAAGAGGAAAACAATATTTTTCTTTTAGAATATATATATATATATATGCGTCCTGTATATATATGCGGAAAAACAACTTTATTGCTGTTTTTATTCCTGATATTTTATTGCATATGATTTCTATAGGAATTTTGTACTTTACAGTTTGTTTTGCCGTCTGAAAATACGTAACAACATCTGCCACCACAATTGTACAATGTCTGCGATGCACATCAACACACACTGATACAAAATCAGTAGGCCTATGTGGAAACTAATATGTATTTGTGTGTGTTTAGGTCAAGTGATCACTGCAGGAGTTGCAGAAATATTGAACGGCTATTCTCTGAAAACTATTCTGCGTAAAGTTCAGGGAGAGAAGCAGACTGTGGCTGCATCAGACGCATATGATGACAGTTACCTAGGTAAGAGACGTGTGTGTGTTTGCCTTTGAAAGGTAAAGATGCTTTATGGGACACCAGCGATTTTCTTTGGGGCCCTGTTCATGGATCAGAGGACCAGCCCTCAGTCAATTTAATAAACACACACACACACATGAACACACACACAAGCTTTTTTTGGTGGATGTTGAGGTAACCTCGACTCTATGCTCAGTTTGCTCAGTTCGGTGCAGAGTTTGTGCCTACTGATAGCATTTCCATCTGGAACTGCAGACCTCAAAACACACATACACACACACAAATATTCCATAAATACACACTTGTATATCCTATGAGCATTTTCCCTTGTATGCTGTAATCATCATCACAGCTGGTCTGTCATTATAATAATGCAATCGATCATAAAATGACGAGATAAAACCAACATGAGTAAACATCATTTTTAAACTGGCCCACTTTGGTTAGCTGCATCAACTATTCCGATAACTGTATTCACAGTTATTTTCTAATGTTCTCTTTCTGTGTCTGGTAGGTTACTCTGTAGCGGTCGGAGAGTTCACAGGTGATTCGGAACAAGGTAAGAACTTTTAAACCTTTTATATATGTGAACGATACACCCAAAAAAAGATCAGTCTATAATCATTTACTCACCCTCATGTCATTCCAAACCTGCATGACACAAAAGAAGATATTTTGAAAAATGTCTAAATGGGCTCCAGTGTTGTTTAGAACTGTATGTGTGAACAAATTCATCCAAATATCTTCTTTTCCAGTTTGTCACATGTTGTAATGTAGCAGACCTCTATCTCAGACACATAAACAAAGCTTTGCATCTTTTGTAGAGTTTTGTGTATGAATGTGAGTGCATGAGAGAGAGAGAGAGCTCTGTCTCTGTGTGGTTGTTGTGTGGATTTGTTACTTACTGAGCTTTGATCGGACCCTTCAGCCTCATACCATAATTACAGAGTACTCCCAGTGACAAACAGCACATCTGCAGTCTGTCATCCCTCTCTAACACACGTGTGCGCCCACATCGACTCATAAGCAATCATTAGCATGCCTATCCATCAGACAGTACCGTTCTACAAAACCTTGCATCTTATTTACCAACTGCCTACAATTCAGCTTTAACAGACTAAAATAAATCTTGTGTGAATTATTATGCCATATAATAGAGTGCACCTAATGGAAAAGTACACATTTTCATTTAAAAAATATGTTTGTTTACAATTTCTACATTGTAAAAGGCCAGTTAAGGTTAGGGTGGAAATTCACTGTAAAATAGGTCTGGATTAGTGGTGAATCCAGAGAGGAGAGACATGCTGATCTCTTTTTGTCAGAATTTCATAAATGGACTTTTGCTGTGGCGCACTTTGCGGTCAAGGAAGGCGGGAAATTTGAGGTGGTGGGGGGAAGGGTAGAGGACAAGCCGGCTGTGATGGGTCCCTGAGACTCTGGGAGATTTCGAGTTAGAAACGAGGCAGACTTTTGAACGGTCCCTCTCCGGTCTCAGTGGGTGGGACAGATCTGACAGACAGCCACAAACTCTCCCACCATATGACTATCTCCAAGATCATCTCTGTCTCTCTCTTCTAAATATTTATAATTAATGAGTGACTGGCATGGTGTTGACAGAAAAGAGATTAACACTCACACGTCTCACCTCACTGTTTTGCCTGAGATGCACTAGATAAGTGGTTGTCAGTGTGGAAATGTTCACTCATACATACTCTTCTCAACAAAAAAAAAAGGGTATGTTTTATTATTGTTGAGTACTGAAGCACATCACTTGTTTCTTCAAACTCTGCAAGTCTAAAATATATAAACCAGCTGGCACATATGTAAATATCTCAGTTATGTTTACTGTATGCCTTTCTTATGTCCTCTATGCAGAATTGGTAGCAGGGGTACCTCGAGGGGCGCACAACTTTGGTTATGTAAGTATACAGTCCTAAACAGAATTAGTTTCCTGTGTTTCTGTCATGGTAAGATATGGAATCAAAGGTCAGTAGTAAAGGTCAAGGGGGAAGGAAGAATGTGAGAAACGTTTGAGAGGTTAGCCCACTTTTGTACTAAAACTGAAACATTTGTTTATTCAAATAAACAAAGAAAGGCTGTATGTTTTGCAAAGACTGTTATTCTGGTTAAAGTAAAACCTCTAAGTCACTTGTGGAAGTGGATGCGAGTTTCTCATCTGGATGTGATTTGCAGTCTTAAGAAGGAATTCCCAATTAGGGCTGTAGCATCTAGGACACAGGGGTGTCCCCTTTGGCCCTCAATTAAACAGAATCATATTCAGCTGGATGGGTGGTTTGTGAAGCAGACAGTGAATTTGGGTCTTTTTTTTTACTGCATGTTATATTCTTGGGTATTAGCCGTATGTGGCTGTTTGATTTAGGATCTCAGTCATACGTGTCCCATAAAACATCCACTAAGATTATTCTGGATGTAATTATTAGAGTGCTAAATGCCTAACATGAGGAAAATCACTCTGGTTTGGAGTAGAGGACAGGCATGTGGTCAAATACACAAGTCCTGCAGTACATCAGAATCATGACAGTCTGTCATAAATGGAAACAGTGTTTCATGAGCACTAATATAATCTGACTTTTCTCTTTTTGTAGGTGGCTGTGATCAATGCAACAAACCTGACATTTATTCAGAATTTTACTGGGGAGCAGGTGAGTGACTGTCCAACCTTTGGAGTGTCTGGTTTTTGTTTGTTTTTTTAAACTTTTGTTTTTACATTTTTTTTAAACATGTTATTTGATCACTATGAATTAGGGCTGCACGATAAATCGCATGCGATATTTAATGCGCATCTTGTCAGTAAAGCCATTCTGTAATCAGCGGTAAATCTCCATCACGTGCGGGCTTTCACATGGAGCAGCATTTACTACACAGAGCCGTTGTTCACTTACAAGCTGCGCAAAACATGCGCAAAATATGATCGTGGTTTCGATTTATCGTGCAGCCCTACTATGAATTAATTGGGGGAGTTGTGAGTCAGTTCTGAGTTCTAAGTTGTGGAGAATGCAGCAGACAGCCACATTCTGATTGATTGCTCCTCCATTGTAAGCCAGAAAGCTAAAATTAGGGTGTGAAAGTGTGTAGTGGGACTGCACTGCACATCTGGGTACATGTGAACATTTGATTAATTAAATGCTGCCATAATCAATAGAAATTGTACACAAACATCTCTTTTAAATGATTATTGTTGTTCTTTTGAGTTTTGCCTTCCACAGCCAAAAAAAGCACAATGTTTTTTAATTTATATATTTACGACTAAATTGGACTAAAGGAAGTTTTTGAATGAGACATGAGATCTTTTTAACTGCATTCTAATGCAGCAGAAGATATTTGTCTTAGCAGTGTGTCCTATTTCTCTCCTTCGTCTCACATTTCTATTTCACATATGATTTTTTCTCGCAGATGGCCTCTTATTTTGGATACACTGTTGCAGTGACTGATCTAAATGGAGATGGGTAAGTCAACATGGAAATTAATGTCCAATTACATGTAAGGTCACAAAATGGTTGTTCCATGCGAGATGTGGTGGTAAATGAGTAAGTTTGTCTACATTAAGTTAATTCTTATGAAATGTAAGTTTATCCCCATGAGGCAACTCAAAAATAACATTTTATAGTCGTAGTACTTAGGTGTTCCTCACGGTCTGCCTACATTGAAACAAGGCTTTCTTATCTGTCTGTATTATTTGTTTTGAGCTAATTTAATTTACTAGCTCATGCTGTATTTAGTTACATGGTGTATTCAGAACTAAATATGACCATATAAATGATATGAATAGGACCACAAGGTTTTATATGGGTTTTGGCTTATTTAGACTCATGCTTTAAGCTCTGGTTTACTTGACCCTTGTTTAAATGCTCACATCGTCCAGGGGGGAATTTGATATGCATACAATTGGTTTCTAATTTGGTCTTATGAGGATACAAAACTTTGCTGACACATCAGCGCCAAAGCTCCTTCTCTTATGTCTGAAATGCTGACATGTGTTTATGCCATTAACTGAAAGGCTTACTTACCAACGGTACATGGTTGAATACACAGTAAAACAGCAGTACACACAAAGAAAGAGCAGTTAAATGATACACCAGCAATGACCAACGTACAGAACTCATTACACTTATAGCTGTTGAAATGGCTCATTTGCTGGAAACAGGGCCAATCAGTCTTTAGTGTTGAAATCAATGTATCGTTTTTGTTATTTTTTGGCTACTAAATGCTGAAATGTATAAATCACAGTGATTTATTTTTAGATATCAAATAATATAACTTGGTTATATCTGTTATCTTAGATCTAATAAGTCTGAGAAGTACAAATGTGAATTTTTCTACAATATTTCATTCCATTTTATCATGGAATCCCGACACCATCTTTGTTGGTTTTAGTCCAGGTTATTCTCAGAATGCCCCGTTCCGAACTGTAGGAACATTTTGGTATTCCTCCATCGGTCCTCATGCAGTCCAAAACACACTCCTAAATTCATATCTCCAAGCAAAACGTCTCTGTTTTGTATTATCAGCATTTATAAGATTTATACTTTATCCCCTGCTATGATACTGTCATGCGCTGGCTCGTCTTTGTCTTCTCTGATGGCTCATATTTTACAATGGTTCATTGGTGCACTTCCTTGCAAATATTGCTGTCTTGTAACCTCAAGGGTGACGTCTTGTATGATTCTTTGACTTCAAACATGCACTATAAAGCTGCAGGTCTTTATTCGGTTGTTAACCATCCATTCAGTTTCCAAGTAAAGCATCTTCAAAACAAATACATGTACAATTTATGTTACTTATGGGCCTCTAAAAATTCAAAACCTTAAGGTGTTTGTATCAAATTTGTTAATTTATGTGCACACACAGGCTAGATGACGTGCTAGTTGGAGCTCCACTCTACATGGACCGTGAGTTTGAGAGTAAACCGCGTGAGGTGGGCCGTGTGTACTTGTACTTGCAAGAGGACGTGCTTCTCTTCTCCCCTTCCATCACACTCACTGGAACGCACCTGTTCGGCCGGTATGGAAGTGCCATCGCCCCTCTCGGAGATATCAACCAGGATGGCTACCTTGGTAAGTGTTCGTGTTAATGTGCTTTTAGGGTGTTGTGTTGCTTGATTCAAGAGTTTTTCAGTGAGACAGAGGTTACATATACACCCATTTCCTACTTGTCTTTTTTGTGTAGGATATCCTGTCTCTCTATCACACACTTAATATGTACAGTTCTAGCCAGCCGGGAAGGGTAAACTTAGTGATTTGTTGCCCTTGTCTGCATTTTCCTGTGAAGAGTTGGGTGTGAACCACTCTGTTCTGTGTGTGTGTGTTTTGTTGAGTCTGCGGATGGAGGTCACGTGGTTTATATTCCTGTTGCTATTCAACCACTAGTATTGCAAAATAAATAAATAATGTTAAACAAAAAACTTATATGATTGAAAAATCTGCAATAAATCATATTTAAATGAATTAATAGTTTAGAAATTAATATTAAATACTGTAATAAATGTAAAAATAAATAGATTTTATAAATTTAAAATTATAAATGTAAATTCACCCCCCATAAAAGTTATGATTTAAAATAAGCTTGCTGCGATAGACTGTGTTTTCGGTTATACCGGTGTTAAGCCACAACACCGGTTACGTCATTTGCCTACCACGGCACCGGCCCCCACCGTCGTTTTGATTTTTTTATAGTAACAAAAATCATTTAGCCTAGTTCAGTTAGAGGACAGATACTTTTAAAAACTAAACGCTCAATGCAGCGTGCCGAACCGTGCGTGAACGACGGAGCAGGAGTCAGATTTTATTTATCA